TGATATTATCATAATTTGGGGAATGATCAAAATGGAACTTTATTTAAATAAAACCCACTAAATCACTTTTAGACCATTGAATTGAGAAAGTGAAATTTTTCTACAATTAAGATAGCCTAATCTAATACTGAGATAGTAATCTCAAAGAGAAAGAATTCACTAAATATCCTTCAAGAAACTGGCGTGCTAGGAAGGTGGCATAAGAAAGACAGAAGGAACGTTTGAGCGTTCTTATTATACCTAGAAACTTGTTGGAAAATTGAACTCTTACAATGACTAGACGAAATATCTGCTTTGTTGTAAGTGTAACAAGTCAATTCTTATATCATCGTGCACCAATCCTTGTCATGCAATAATATGCCTTCTCAATATTAAAAAAGGGCACTGGAGAAAGGCTTACTACATGAGATTATGGACAAACTCAAGCGATTAGGGATGCTAATGCTGGCTGGGAAAAATATCTTTTAGATTGGCTACCTACTATAGGTTATTTCATTTCCAATAGAGGAACGATTGCATCCTAGAAAATCAAGAAACACGATGTGTGACTAGATCTGATGTTGAAACTGAATATATGTGTGACGAATTCTTCAAGAACTCATATTTGAATATAAAAGAAAAATGACGTTAACTTCTGGTAATTGAGATGCTTTCACTATTATATTCAATATGGCCTTCACGAGAGAAAAGCCCATTGGGACTGTTCAATAAAAAAGAAAATGGAAATCTCACTCCAAACTTTGTTTGTTCCAATGACCAATTAGCTGGTATTTCCACTAAAGCATCAAAGGAACCAAGCATTTCTTACTTTTGTAACAAGTTTGTTACAAATAATTTGCATGCTCCAACTTGAGAGGGAGTATTGGAATTTAAATAGGCTTCCTAGATAGAGAGTATGTGTTAGCATATGCAGCACATGACAGTCCATATTTTGGTTGGTTACAGTTGCATAATTGGTAGAATACTATTATAGAATTGTAAGTCTTCAATGTCTTGTTCTGTCTTGTATCATTCTCTTATGAATACAAAATCTCATACACGTCAAAATTCACTAACTACATTTTATACAAGGGTTTTCTCTTCTTTCCCCACTTGGACGTTGACTTGGCTGTGCTGCCGCTGAAGTGACCATGCTTCAAAGAACTTATTCAAAAGAGGATGGGATTAATAATACAAAAATCTTTGTTTCTTGTCAAATGAAATAGTAGTTTACACACAAGGGGTTGCACATCAGCCACTTCCTGAGAGATGAGCAACCACATTCCTTCACCAACTAACGACCATGATATATTAATAAATCACACACAGACTAACCACCATGATATGCTAAAGGCATTTCTTGAACTATTATTTTCTGCGCCAATTGGCCAATCCGAATAATTAAAAAGAAATTAACTTTTAAGACAAACGGGCGGTTTCAGAGCAAAATAGAGAGTCTGCCCAATCAAATATCAAATAGTAAGAAAATAACGATGAAAAATAAAAAGGAACCTTATAGCCCTAAAAGTTGGACACGAACAGTACCAGAACAAGTAAGTCTAGAGACGCTACCTCCCTCCATCCGGCGAGGAAATCCAGCCAGTACAATCTCAACTATCCCCCAATGTTACAGTCATCTACTGCTTCAAAAATAGTTGCTTGTCAGTGTAATTCTGTGAAGCGCCACACACACATAAAAGAAGCTAAAACGCTCCCGGAAAAAAAAAATCAAATTTTATCAGACAGGCCAGCAGAATCTTACCGGAGGCTAGAAGTTTCGTCGGATCGAATTAGGGTTCCGACGCGGAAAGATGGTCGTCAGAGAAAGCCGAAACAACCCGAAGACACTAAGAGCGGGTGATCATTCTCAGTGAGGTTTTTTTTTTTTTTTTTTTTTTTTTTTTCCCCCCCTGGTTTGGTTGTTAGTTTATTTTGTTTTTGTTTTTGCCCACTAGTCTCACAGGCTGAGGGAAGCGCACTGTGGTACTCGTTTTTCTCCAACCCATCAGAAAACAAATGTCTGCGGACGGCGAGTGAGATTGAAAAAGGTCAGCTTGTTTGTAATAGCAGGGGTGATATCCAACGGGTATAAATTAGTCTATACACGTGGGTGGTCCTGATTCGATCACGGAAATTATCTAGAGATTATGGTTAACTACACAATCTTTCCCGTGGCAAGCGGCGTCACATGGACAATGATCGTTGGTTGATACTTAATATTTTAGTGGAGAAGGGATCAGGTGGATGAAGTAGCTTACTCTTACGGTGGTAATGAAAATGAGATCGGGCAGGCCGGAATCCGAATGCGCCTGATAAAAAAGTACGGTTATGTATGTTCTGTCAAACGATATATATGACGTAATTATTTTAAAAAAAACTTCTGAGCATTATTTAATTAAACACCCCGCGCGCATACGAGATTACTATTGCTAGTCTGAAAAGAAAATAACATTTTATAAGATTTCATATATTCAAATTTTAATGATATTTTCCATCTAGTCTCCAAAAATGATTTTTTTCTTACGACAAATGAAAATGTATTTCTATTTTGGTTAAAAGAATAAAAATTATATTTTAGTTATATTAAAAAAAAAGATATATGTTCATTCAAAATTTATATTAAAATAATATTTAAATTTACTAAAATAATAGTATAGAAAAATTTGCTACAGTTTTTTCTTTTACTGTGGAAACAAAATCTAAAAATTTGAATTCATGTTCATAACCGAGGCAATAATTTTGTCGGAATTCTTAATCATTTGTGTCATCAAACAAGACTTCAAATTCACAACAAGGAAAACAATCATTTGTGTCATCCTGAGTTGACGTCTAAAATCGGGCATAAAATATCATATCGAGTGTAAAATTAAATTATTAACTTCATCATATGTATGCGGTCACAAAATGTTAAAAATAAGGGATAAGAATTAAAATTAAGATTAAAAAAATCTATTAAAAAATATTTATGATGAAATATTCTTATTATATGGGATTGAATGAATCCATATATGTGAGATTAGTGAATAGTATTGGGAAAGATGATATTTATTAATCTTACTTTCATGAGTTTGTATAATATAATTCCATGTGACAAGTAATTACTTATGTTAAAGACTCTTTTATTGATTTTTCTCAATTGTAATTTGAGTTCTCATATTTTATTTTCAATGTTTCATGCTAGACAGAACATATTTCTTTTTCAAGAAAAAAAAAAGAACATGTCAAAGTATTATTAGCTTATCTCTATATTGTATTTTTTGTGGTCATGTTTCAGTTGCCTTTTTTTTTTTTAAATTTAAAATGCCCACGTGTTTATTTATTCATATTCAGTGTTAGTATGGGAAGATCGATGAAAGAAGAAAGCACAACACACACAGACACGCAATTAATTTTATAAAAACCATCTGATTCATAAACGTCATTTCTTCTGTTTCCATTTACAATTCATCTGTACAAGTTTTTCAGGTTCTTATCTATAACTCATTTTGCAAGACTTTCGAAGCAATCCATATTCCTTTCCAACAGTGTCATTAGTATATATCATTGAGAAATTATTATATATTTAATTAAATATATTTTTGGAGATAGAATAATTTTGAGAACAACAAATAGTTTCAGTTAACTTTTGAGAATTAGTTAATAATAACTTATAAATAGCAATATGCAGGAGCTAACTTGTCTTAGACTCCTTGTAGTGCAGGAAAAACTAGAATTAGCAACTATTACCTCCGGTCTTTAATATAAAATCCTGTTTGACTTTTATTTTAGTTATAAATATAAGATCCCAATCCACTTTATCTCTCATCTTTATATATTTTTTTTCAAAATAACCCTTTTAACAATGGTAGTTCTAGTCAATACACTTAATTAGTAAGGATATTTTAGGAAAGACAACACTTATTTAGAACAAGTAACTAACTCAACTTACTTTATTAATCTCCTCAAATTAGACAATTGGCTTTTATAATTAGGACTGGAGGTAGTAAAATTTAAGGCTTCTAAGTTTCAAATTTAGATTATCATCGCATGAAAAGTCAACGCACACGATAATAATCTCAATAGTAAGTGTACATAATCTAAGGTGAGAAAAGATCACATTATGGTAAAATGTACAAGGAATTTCTTTTGTGCACCTTCAGTTAACTCAAAGATAATCTATTCCAGTAATGCACGCAGTTTAGGAGTCACATCCACCATGGCTTGTCTATGAGATCTTTGGAGAACATGTAGCGGAACCTAGAATTGTAAGGTAGCCATTCTATTATCTGTGATGCCTTTTTACTGGATTTACGATCAAGGCGCTTCTGTATTGAATCATGCAGCTTCTTGTCAACGTTTTGCATGATCCATCCAAGGAGATCATCTATGCTCAATGTGGCTTCTCTGCAATATCTTTCTATCAATTTTGGGAGAAAAACCTTTCTTGACTTCTTCACAATTACATTTGCTTGAAGAACTCTCTCTTGGCAACTTCCAGTTCTTCTCTTATATTGGATGCTGAATAAACTTTTAGCTGCAACATATCATAACAAGATTAATTAACACTCTTGCAAATGTGTGCGTCGAAGACAGGAGAATTATCAACTAGACTTCAATGAGTCTTAAATACCGTATTATTAGCAACACCTTACTTTTTCCAGCGATATTTAGAATGCACTATCATGGAAAAGAATAAAGGAGAAGAATTACCACAGGATCTGACGAGGCTCCAGTACAAAGAGCAAAGCAGACAAGGGGCTGGGAATCACCAAGACCCAATTTTGAGCTGATCAGTTGTCTTTCTTCATTATTTTTCTTCCTCAAGGCAGCAGATACGATGCTTTCAAGCCACTGTTGTTTAGAAAATGACAAATAAATCAACTAGATAAAACAGAAGGTTATTTCCAAGCATCAAAATTAGCTGTCAGAAAATTTTGCTTACAATTTTTTCTTGTAGAAAAAAAAATACTACTACCTAAAATCAGGACAATGGATCTACATTATCATAGAAACTATCTGTGAGCAGAAGATGTCAATCCTATGACCCTCCACGGGCAAGACCAACAAACAACGTAGGAAATTTCATGGTACTCACAACTTCTGGTCCATAATCATATTCCCATATATGATAGAATGCATTTACAAGAGGCACTATATCATATATATATATATATATATATCAACACACACACAGACACACACTGTATAGTCTCGTTGTCAACATGAGGGTAAGGTCAGTACCCGTCCAATGCGGGGGCTTCTGAAGCAAAATATCGATTGTTCTATGGCATTTGCACTAATGATATGACCTCCAATGTTGTAAGCAGCCTGCACTACAATTTTACCAATTACTTGATATTGTGTCACAAGAAAAGGTACAATATCACAAGAAGAAAATACTGCCAATGAAAGAAATGAAAGTGCTAAACATGAACAATATCATGTAAAAATTTGTAGCATAAAGCTAACAGCTAATCGGAAAAATGGTGCCAAAGAGAAGAGTTCGCTCTTTTGCTTTTCCCTCTTTTCTGAAGAGATTGGGAGGTTACAAAGGTGTCCAAATTTTTTTCTCTTGGCTGCAAGGGTGGCGATTTCTTAGTAATTTGGAGGGACCGGCGAGGTGAGTTCTACTGACAAAAGAAAATTGAAGGAAATGAGAGATAAATGAGTTATATGGTTACAGAGGCAAAAGAATTCCTGATACAGGCATCACAATAATTAAACATTGGCTTGTGGAGAGGACTTTGGGGGAAGTTAAGCCCTGCCAGCTGTTCTCTAGATCCAACATTATTTCCTAGAAATTCATAAACTTTGGAAATTCTTTAGAAATATAAAAATTGAATAAAAATGTAAACTACCTTGTGAAACAAGGCTAACCTCCTCAGAGAGCCCTGAGGAATTCCATATGCTAAATATGCCTGTCAATGGCAGAAGAAGAGTTACACGTGGTGCAAATAAGTAAGACAAACATAATCTCTGGTCATATGACTATTACATGCATCACAAGAGCATTATGCACGTTGATCCAGAATGCAATTTGGGTGTCACGTTCCATTTGACTGACATTCACCTTTTCCAGCTGTTCAACTAGAACCCTGAAAGGCAGAGAGATAATATCGTGTCAAGCTACAAATTCAATTAAGTCCAGTGCAATCTTAAACAGAACTTAATGAGTATGCATATAAGTAAATCTGGAACACCATGCTCTCCACTACGCCTACAATAAGAAGAGCGAAATCAAACAGTATGAAGCAAGTAAGAACAAGAGTATGCATAAAATGCATACAAATACCCAAAAACAAGGTCCGTTTTGCATCCCAGTCAGGTAATTGTCTTCAAACTATATCATTACTTTGGTGTCCATTGCATCGTCATTTATATTTTATACTACTGTAAAATGAGGGAAGATGGAGATGTTTATTTTATTATCTGACATTAAATGTGCATTTATATTTTGAGATAGTTGTGCGCATTCCAGTAATGAAATCCCCATATTCTGAGAATGAATCATTCATACTCCTCTTTCTCAATAAAATTTTAAATGAGAAGAGGGCCCAGGGGGTTCAGCATGTGCATGTCAAGACCCTTTTCCCAATCTTGTCGGGGAAGGAGAAACAAGGAAACCTCAGAATCTGAGGCCTTACAGTAGGCTCATTTACTTTCTCCATTTGAAAGAACAAAAACCATACTAAACCAAACTAATGATCATTCCTCTAAACCTGTAGAATTAGGCTGACAAGCCCTATTTAAACAGAATTATACTAAAACAGGCATATTAAAATAAACTTAAGATGTCTATAAAACAACAACAATGACAACAACAACAAGTCCTATCCCATTAGATGGAGTCGGCTATATAGATCACACGACGCCCTAAACCTAAACGAAAGAAGTATAAAACAATAAAATAAATCCAAAGAAGTATATAGAATTATAAT